GGCGGCGGTGGTGGTGGTGGCGGTGGCGTCGGCGGCGGTGGTGGTTGGTCGTGGTGCTGAAGGTGGAAATTACGTTTGTCTCACTCTGCTGTGCTATTGAATTTGTTTTGAAATGGAAGTCGTTCAAAGGCCTTGGGTGCAGGCAAGAACTCCTGGCTAGACGTTTGCAGTCAGATATCTCCAGTGCATGTGCATCTGGTTTTCAAGGGCATTGGGCGTTTGGGATTCTACGAACATCAGCACAAAACCTGTTGGGTGACGGCTTGGGAGTCTCGGGCCGTAAGGGCATCTAGCATTCGGTCCAGCTACGACCAGACACCTCCCGAATCTTCGATTTCTCCTGAAAAAAACCGCAAGACCTCCTGGGTTCCAAATGTCCCAAGCACAGAGCCATGGTCTGACGAGCCTATTTCGACGCCTTTGTCTGGGCGTGTGGCCCTGGACCAAAACACGGACGTCACAGAGCTCCTGTCAGCATGACGGATCTTCGGACCTTTTCAGAAAGCTCAACGCAGGCTGATAAACCGAGTATCCTTCCAGATCTGCTGTGCACCTTTGAAGGCATCCGTGTAGGGACACACCACCCCCTAAGTTTGACCCACCTGGCCTTGCCTGTGCTCTGCCGCCATGAATGCCCCAAAGCCGTGGCTTCAGATTGAAAGGGATGCAGAGCCAGTGCGTAGACAAGACACAATGAAGGCAGGAAGAGCGTAACACGATCAATGAACCACCACCAATATACGTAACAACGCGAACTTCGACGCTGCACGATCCTGAGCTTTACCGAATCTCTTCCCACCCGGGTTTACACGCAATCCGTCTCTCTGGAGACGTGCTGTGCAAATTAGGCCTTTCTCACTCTCTGACCCTCCGGCGAAGACATATCAGCTTTGCAACCTTAAGCACAACCAAAACATGTCCCTCAAACGGCTCCTCGCCCAATCGCCAAACCCGGGCATCGACTGACCGAAGGAGTCGCAGAGTTTGAATCGTGGCGACCGGCACGTCTTGCATGAACAAGTTCCTGAAGACAGACATCTTCATACAAATGTATGTGCATGCATGCAACATACCAATATCTATGAATGAACGAATGCGTGAATAAATGAATGAAGGAACGAACAAGCGAATGAACGTGTGATAGAGGTATACACGTAGGTACATGTATGTGTACCTGGTATCTGGTATATGGCAAGGCATACGGTATGCGGTATATGGTGTGTATATGCGTATTATATGCATATATGCATGCACGTATGTATCACTTATGTATGTATGTCCACATTGATCCCAGACTACACACTAAAACTTCGTCCTACATCTGAGTGAAGTGCTGGGCTCCCGTCAGTCTCATTTACTCACGACCATCAGATGACAGCCTTTGTGTTCCACACGGTTGCTAGGTTTCGGGGTGCTAGCTGCTGCTAAGCACAACGGCGTGGGTTCCCGTAAACAGATTCAAAGACCATCCCCATCCGTTCTCCTCTCTCCTCAGGTAGTTGGCAGGGAGGCGCGGGGCAGGGCGGGGGCTGACCAAGCACAACACGTACCTCTCCTGCACCCCTACATCTCACAAAGGGACATCAGAGGACCGCTTGAAGAAAAGGACTGTCGATTGCATGAAAATCTCACTGCTTGTCGTCGAAACGATGGTGGGCATGCTTCTTGAGTAGAACAGGCTGCCTGTTTCCTCAAGCTCAAGCTTTCAACACATCTCCGGCTCATAATGTCATGATGCACCCACCATATGGCCAATCGCTGCGAACGTTGAATAAGGTAGACCGGGGAAGATCACAAAACATGTTCGTGTACCTGCATGAAGGCACACTTACCTCGCTGCGTACATCCCTCCAACCATCCTATCCATCCATCCATGAGTTCATCCATACACGCATACTGGGACGTGGTTACATGCAGACCGGCAAACAATGTGTGAATTATTTTACATACATACATGCATACATACATACATACATGCATGCATGCATGCATGCATGCATGCATACATACATATATGCAGAGGTATCCAGGAGAAAGTGTAAAGAAATGCAAGAGAGGCACACAGTCTAGAGTGTGCGAGTCTCGGCACAGGAAACACCTCCTGCGCACGGTCTGCATGCAGCGTATGCTGCTGTAGTAAGCTTTGTGACAATGACAATCCTGACCCAGCAAATGCCGCCGTGGAATGGATAGCCGGTATAGACAGAGACTAACAAACGTCGTGACAAGAGTTTTCGTCGTTGGGATGGAACTTGCATTTATCTCGAGACTTGTGCGATTACGCGGCTCTCCCTTCTAGTTGGGGCCACCTTGCCAAACTGTTTAAAATTGAGCCAAACTGCCGCGACATGCGACTTTCCACCGGCTTCAGAGCTCGGGGATGCTCAATGGTTGGGCTACACCTATGAGCTTCACGGCATCTCGAGGTAGAGCTTCTTTGCTCGAGTACCCAGTACGACGATTCAAGAAAAAGGCCGTTTATTGGGGGGTTTCCGAAAATAGGGGACCCCAATATAGTACCCTAAATAGTAGGATCCTTATTATAAGGACCCCGAAATAAGGTACCCCTTGTTTTCGGAAACTCCCATTGTGTGTTTCACAAAAAAACATTCGCCTCGACCCCGGCCGAAGCGGCCAGAGGTTCCCACAAGGATTCCCCGTTTCCCCACCTCTTAGTTCCCTCCGCAGCAATGATCCACCCCCGCTTAGCCGGCCCATTAAAACTGGACATCGGGTTGGCAACCACTGTGTCCAGAGATTCTGCTGGCGAAGAGTGGTCTTGGCGGGAGCGCCCCCCTCAGATTTGGGCGATTTTTCTCTGCGAGAAGCCTCACCCCTCTATCGTTCCCCCCCCGTCCCTGCTTCCCTCATCTCTTCGTTGCGGCGAGGCAAGACGGGCTAGCTTACGTCATTCGTGAAGCTGATGCCAAAGCCTGGGAATTCTGGAGCTGTGTTTTGTGCTTCGTTGCGAATCATGATTTCCCTTCCAACGTCTGGGAGGGTGTATACGAAACCAGTGAGAAGTGCGATAAGATTATTATAATAGTAACGTCTGTGGGATAATGCAGGGAATGTGCCACCTCACCCGTGGGATTATTGCTCAAAGCCTCATCCTGAAAACAAATACTGACATTAAAAATAACATTTTGAAGCAAATGCCCTCATTCACTCAAGACATCACCTGTGTGACCTACCCATTGCTTTGCGAAACAATGCACCTACCTGCTTCAAGTACAGCCGGGCCGACTACAACAGATTGCACGATGAAGCCAAGCGGCAGCAGGCCATCCACGAACTCTTCCTTGGTAGATAATAGATTGTGCGCACGACGGGTGAAGCTTCTGCCACCACCAGCACCACTACCACCACGACGACCACTCCTTCTACTACTGCTACTACTACCACAACAGATACCACCTGCTGCTTCTGTCATTCATGGTTGCGACCAGCAGTATTTTCCTGTGACCGTTGCTACTAGCATTTCCAGCACCGCGGTTAGTTATTGCCATGCTTGTTGCAACTAACTACCACACTTGCATCACATTAAAAACAGTCGCACTGCTGGTAATAGTTCATGACAGACGCCATTTCCATTGTCACACCCATAGTGTTCTTATCACCCATACAAGGGACAACACCGGGGCATCATCACAGTTTATTGCGGCCGTTACGAGTCTTGCACAAGGCATACTGGCGTCGCGATGATGTCGATTGTGACTACAATCAAAGTTATTGCCATGGCCGTGAACTCTAATCTTATTTTCAATTCTTGCACTGGTCTCCAAGTTATCCAACAAGTTCTCTTCAGATTCTAGTGAAGTCTCGGATCCGGCCTTCAGCGCTGTTCATTTCGGCTTTGGGTTTCTTCATGGTGACTTGAACTCTTGAATGGCGGTGCACAGGCAAGTCACTCTTGTCAGCTCCCCTCCACCGTCCACGTCCAGCATCTCGAACACCTGCTCGGTTGCATCTTTGACGCAGGTCGTATCATCGCCAGAAGCCCTGAGCCCCAAAACACTCTCGTGTGTTCTTAAGTCCCAACCTCTCACCAACTTTCAAACCTGGAAAACCGTAGATCCTCTTCAGGGACGGGACTTCAAGCTTGGACTCTTGCTGAATTGAAGCATAGACTTTGCAGCTCAGCATTGTTTAAAATTTAGAAATTCGGAAACGATTACAGATTGAGTGAAGAACAGCCGTAGTTGCGATCAGTTCCACCGTACGAACCCTGCATCAGAAGAACTAGATGCAAGATTGGAACACTCCGCAAGAAACCAGATGCAGAGGCGACAGGGAGACGCAACACAGATCTTTACAAGGCCTCGCTAGGTCACCCCCTGGTACCGCTGGATCGAATCTCGGGCCATTTTGGTGGCTTGTCCCCTTCCGGCCTCCTGCATTGAAGATACTCGGCTCTTGTTGCGCAGCTCTGCAGGAATGACATCAACCTTTGGTGGAAAGGCTGGGAGGGAGAATTTCTCGTAGTTGGACTTGCAGCTCTTGACCTCTCACGCTGCCTCCAATCCGCCTCTCCTGCACCTGCACCCTTCACACGCATCGTGCCAGAACACAGGTACCATGGCCATCTCTTCCATGGTCAACGTGCCGGAGCCGTCCTGCCACAGCCCGTGCATTTCACAGGGTACAAGCCGACAACCTGCGCACGGTCTATCCACCTCACGGGACCCGAGTCCTTGTCGATATCCTTGAAGATCTGCAGAAGCCTTGTCAAACTTAATGGTAATCCAGTGCCCCACTCCGTGCGATCCCGAAGTTTAGTCATGCAAAAGCTAGAAGCTCATAGAAGTTCAATCTCGGGACACTAAGTGCCAATCAATTGTGTCTTTCACAAAAATCTGACACGCTGTCCAATATGAATCTTGGCTGGATGTCGTAGCTGATGCAAGCACTGCCACCAGAACGGTCACGAAGACGCTTCCAACAGTTGACAACTCTGCATGTACGTCTACACACGCTGGAGATGGATACACGGTTGCTACAAAAAGTTCGCACTAAGCCCCCGATGAAATTGGTACTTCCACTGGTCCATGCTGTTGCAAGAGTATGCACTTGTCAAGTCTTGCAAATCGGATCACAACGGATCTCCACAAAGCCGAACTGGTGCTGTTCCTGAAAAACTTAGCACCTGTCTTGAGACGCATCCGAGGGAACAACAACCGCAACGACAACAACCACAACCACAACCCCTACCCCTACCGCTACCGCTACCGCTACCGTTACCGCTACCACTTCCACTGCCACTACCACT